GGTAGAAGGTCAACAAAACTCCCTGCAGTGTTTTTACAACTCCTTGTGCGTCTAAGTATTTCAAAATAAATAGAAAGCTCTTACAATAAGAAATTAATATAATAGGAAGACAAACTAGAATATTTATTCATTTGCTCCGTGTAGAGTATAATGTTCAAACAGCCAGTATAGGAGAGACACATCATGCAGTTGGTCCTTCACAAGACTGGAAAACAGGCACATCTGAGTCACCTCTGGGCTGCGCTCTGTCCAGGGTTCTACGGTGACATCACCTTGAACTTGTTCTCTGCGCTTGGTCACTGCCACCATCCACTCCTTCAGCAACACTGTCACTTTCAGCGCGTCCACTGACCCTTTTGGTCTCTAATCTGTACATCAAAGTTTTTAAAACATGCTCTTTGGTTTCAAACCATACAGCTAACAACACAACTTTACCCAGGTATTTGACCGCTCTCTCTAAGTCTTCGCTCCCTGTAGTTTACAGCAATCCTTGATAAAATGAGAAAAATGGATTTCCAAAGAACCTGTAGTATAGTACAAACTAGGAGTATTAGACATTACAAAGTTGAAAACAAATGTGTGGCAGGGATTAAATCTTCTTTCTGCTTCTACTGGTCTTTATGTCATAGGGTCCTGTTCATTTTACATCTGAATGTCCCTCAGCCCCTACACCCCACTTCAGGCTGGGATATTGAAGCACCCACTAGTCTCCATGAACCCGGTTCTCAGTTTCTAAAAAAGATTTGATCCTGTCCTGGGGGAACATAAAAAAATGCAGGTAGTCCTTGTTACCTAATAATTTCTGATAATCTGTGTGTCTGTATCAAGTAATCTCCAAAAAATCAATTCCTCCCCCAGAGGTGAGACCTCAGTCTGATTCAACTGGGCACTTTCCAGGTGACTTGCTGGCATGGTCACCAGTGACATCATCAATAAAATATACATTCATATGTTTAGGTCACCCTGACCAACACTTCTTGTCCTTTGAGACCTGGTCCAAAGGTCATTTTTTCAGTCAATCAAATTGTGTTTCAATGTATCACTGATCTTCAGTATAGTCCTGTCAGGAAACAGGGCAGCTATCATGTAAATAAATTTTCTGTGGCCTCGAAGCTGGGAATGAAGGTCTTGGATCCACACTGACGCTCACTCAAGAGTCGTCATTCCTGCTACATGAAGTGGGTAGCAGTTTGTACTACTCCATGGCAAATCTCTCTCTCTAAAGGCTGGGGAGCCACTAGAACCTGAGAAAGATGTCCCAGTGGCTTCTTTTTATGTCAGGAAAGGGTCACCCACCCTTTGTTTTGATTTCTGTCTTGAGAAGTAAGCCACACTGAGAGTCCAGGGTGCGCTCTGAGAAGACAGGGTGTCACTGTCAGCTCTTGGTACTGTGTGTGTAGCTACTCCCTTCACTGAGGCCAGTCTCCAAGCTGTGCGGACGTCTGCTTGGAAGATTGCAGTGGCAAAGTCTAGATCCGTCCACAGTGACTGAGCTGGGCAGGAAATCAGGTGGAGATCCATCCAATAGAGTCTAACTCAAAAGAGCAAGTGACATTTTGCCTGTCTGTGGTTGTCTAAAGCAGTGTGTTCATATAATTTCCAATGGAAAATCCTGTTCTGACTGCATTTTGGGACAGAGGACTGAAGCAATGCAGAGTCCATGTTCTCCAAGATGGACTTCTACAGTAGTGCCCCTTGTCCGTTCCTGAAATACTCTCCATCCCCTATCTCCAAGAGTATTTCTATGAGAGCTTTCTAGACTGCCTGTTCCCCATCTCTAGGTAGGACCCACTCCACACTGCAGCCAACACTGTTGTCCTCAAAACACATCTTGAATATGACCCTCTACGTCTTTATACATCTGGTAGTCGTTGATTCCTTAGATTAAAATTCTAATGCTTCCCCCTGGAGAGTCTATGTGATTCTCTGACCTCATTTCATCCCTCGCTACAACCCGACCTGTAGTCTTGTGTATAATTTAAATGTAAAATGTCTCCCATAGGTACACATGTTTGAACACTAGGTCTCCAGCTGGTTGTAATAGTCTGAGAGGCTTTTGAATCTTTGTGAGTTGGAACCTAGATGGAGAAAATGGCCAATAGGGAATGAGCTCTGAGGCTGTCACCTCCAACCCATTCTCTCTGCTTCCTGGTTGTCACCACAAGCAAGCAGCAACCATACACTTCCCTACCATAAACTCCACCATGGTGAGCTGTACCCTCTCAAACCATGGATCTCAATAGATTCTACCCACTTTAAGTTGCCTGTGTTGGGTTATCTACCTCCTTGTATGCATTTGCTTTGTTTGTTCCTTTTTCTGTGCCTTTGTGCATGTGTCCGCTCTACTTAAGATGAGTTTAGGGTTTGCCAGAATGGACCAAAGATTGTCGAGAGAGGGGATCTTGAACTGTATCTAGGACTGATCAGCTTAGTTATATTTTAGTGCTGTGATAAACACGGCAACTTATAGAAGAGCACTTTAAGGGCTTACAATTCTGGAGGAATAAGAGTCCATGATAGCAGAACATGGGGCATCAGGCACCGCTGAGTGCTAACATCTCAGACTCCGAGCAAGAGGCAGAGAACACATTGGGAATGGTGCAAGTCTTTTGAAAACTCAAAGATCACCCAAAGTGACTTACTTCCTCCAACCAGGCCCTGCTTCCTCATCCTCCCCAAACAGCCACCAACTGGGTACCAAGTATTCAAACTGAGACTAACAGGGAATATTTCATTCAAACTACCATGCTGTCTGTCTTACCCATCCATAATCATCAATTTACGTAGACTCTTAGTTTTGGTGGAATAGGATCTATTGTCTTTTTTTAAAGTTTATTTTTATTTTATGTGTATACCTGTTTACCTACATGTATATATGTGAACCACATGCATATAGTGTCTATAGAGTCCAGAAGAGGACATCAGATGGCCTGGAACTGAAGTTACAGATGGTAGTGAGCCTCCGTGCAGGTAACGGGAACCAAACCCAGGGCCTCTTCAAGAGCAGCCAGTGTTCTTAACCAGGGAGCCATCCTTTCATTCCCCGAGTTTCTGTCTTCTAGAAACTCTGGCGTTGGTAGTATTGCCGTGTTTCAAAGCAAGGGAAAATGCAAGACAGTGAGGGTGTGGCTTTCATTTTCCTTACTTTTCTGCTAAAATGTTCAGGGGGTACAGGCAAGACATTTTTAAGGCGGAAGAAAGACATAGCAAACATGACATTTTGAAAGGCTAATTGGATACGGATGGACATATTGAGATGCTGTCCGTTATTGTCAGAAATAATGTTTCACAGAGAAGCTGTTGTGGCGAGAGCAGTGTTATTGATGGACTTATGTGCACTCGGGAATATGGAAGCAGTAAGGCCTGCAGAATGATGTCAGTCAAACTGAAGGAACAAAACTAAACACCTCTGATGTGAGAGCTGACCCCGCCCGCAGGATTCGACCCGTAGGACCCACGTGGTTAGACCCATGATTATTTAATGCAATCAGAAGTGATCTGGGAGGGGTCTGCTAACCACTCTGCTCCTGAGATGTGATTACATGCTTGCTATTAGGTTCAAGAATCAAAACAAGCTTGTGAGTCAGGGAACATACGTCTCAAGTTTTAGAATACCATTCCCAATTCATCCTCTGCAACTCCAGAGCCCAATGGGTAATCCTGTAATCCCAATATTTCATCATCCAAACTATATTCTGCTTGTTTCCATCTGCCCATGGAGGAGATGTGATAGAATTCTCTGCCCAGACCACGAGTCCCAGGTTTGAATTCAGGAAACAGGATCATGAGCCCTATGGAGCCAGCTTGGGCAATAAGAGAAAGACTCCAATCAAGATCATTACATTTTGTTCCAAAGCTTTATTTTCTTAATGCAAAACAAAATTATAGATGATGGGAAATAAAGATAAAGCAGAAAGCAACTGAGTAATGAGATCGGGTTAGGGGACAGATTCAGGTTAATCAGGAGTTTCCATAAACAAGACTGACTGTCTGGTAAAGTCTCTGGAAGAAGCTTGCCATCCGGCCTGGGGGTGCTTTAGGCATTGCACTTCTGGGAAGCACCTCAGAGTAACAAGCAAGCGTGCTTGTGCTCCGGTCTCCAGAACCACAGTTACCAGTGGAGCCTTGGTGGAGCTCCAGCTCTTCCTTCCCATGAACCTGGGCCAGGAAGCAGCACTTTGGGGGGTTGCTTTGTCACGTGGTGGGAGGATCTGCGATGTAAAACAGACTTGGCGGCCAACCTCAGTTTTAAGTCGGGTATTTACTGTGGTTCCAAAGGGATTTAAGAAATTCCCAGCATGGGGCATTCATGACCCTCCAAAGTCTGGAGGGGAGGATTGCAAAACAGTATCACTGTCCAATTATATAAATATCAAACTCTACCTCCTTCTTAATCATTTTCTTCTGATCAACTATCTCAACCAAATATACTCTTGAATTGATCTGTCTTGTTTATGGTATGGGGCTTCCGTCCTACCCCTGGAGGGTATATTTCACGAGTAGCCGAAAAGGAAGGTTCTTACCTAGAGTAGGTGCTATGTGTATAGCTATTGAATGAAGGAATGTATGAACTTTTAAAACTGTGGGTGTGTATACATATGTGGACGTGCAACTTATATGTGCCTGTTGAGGCCAGAGGTCAGCATTGACTATTGTCCTCTATGGCGCTGCATCTTCCCTTTGAGATGCTTCAGAAACTGTCTCTCACTGATTGGCTAGACTAGGAACCCCCTCCACACAGGAACGCCCTGCCTCTGCCTTCCAGTGCTTGGATCATAGGTATTCCCTGCCATGCCTGGATTTTTACGTGGGTGCTGAACTCCATTCTTAGGCTTGTGCAGTCAGCGCTTTGCCACCCTGAGCCATTTCCTCGGCCTCAGGACTGAGGGCAGGAGGAAAGCCGGTCTGAGGCCAGGAGGTCTCCCGCCAGCCATCCATGCTCACTCCTCCCTCCCAGACGCTGCTGATCGTTCTACAACACCTTTCCTCCCTTTTTACAGAGCATTGGCTGTGATGACTTCCTGGGCTCCGACAAAGTCGTGGACAAGTGTGGGGTGTGCGGAGGCGACAACACAGGCTGCCAGGTGGTGTCGGGAGTGTTCAAGCATGCCCTCACCAGCCTGGGCTACCACCGCGTCGTCGAGATTCCCCAAGGAGCCACGAAAATTAACATTACAGAGATGCACAAGAGCAACAACTATTTGGGTGAGAGTTCATTTCTCCTCTCCATACACCACGCACGCGCACACCACACACACACACACACACCACACACAGGACGTGTGTGATCACCCAGGTGGTGTGAGAGTTTATTTCTCCTCTCCACACGCACGCACGCACGCACACACAAGACGTGTCACTACAGGTGGTGAATTCTCTCCAAGGTGGTGAAGTGACCACTGTGGTGGCCAGACATCCCAGGACACACAGAAAGTGCCCCTGGGGTCTTCCTGACCTGCCGTTTGGGATAGAGTGTGTGTGTGGCGGGGGTACAGGTCTGCCCAAGAACCAAACGGCTGATGTCTATATATTTACACCAGGCTTTACTCGAGAATGATATGGGCATGAAATGGGCAAGAGACTTCTTTGAGCTGGATGGGTTTTTTTGTCAGGGAGGGAGGGAGGGAGGAGGAGTCTTTGTTCTCTTGGGGTCTGGGGACAGGGATCGCTGAGGACTCCTTCCAGACAGTCGCTCCATGGAGGTCTAAAGTGAAGGCAGTCCTTGCCTTCGCTCTCTTTCATCTGCCGGGGGAGCAGGCCCCTGCAGGTCTTCTGAACTGCTGCGGACCCCTCAGCGGTCATCTCAGTCAGTGCCATCTGCATTTAGCCCATTTTCCTGCGGGCGAGAGAGCCTTGCTGGTGCTGTCTTCTGGAATCCGGGTTATTTGCATATCTGCCAGTGTGCAGCGTCACAAGAATGGGTGTTTACCAGTTTCTAATTCAGATAAGCATGTATAAATCAGTGAAGCAGATTATAGGGGTGCCTGTTCCGTTTTCTGAGACAGGGTCTTGATCAGTATGCCAGGCTGGGCTGTAAATCGTAATGTAATCCAGGCTGGTCTTCCTTCTACATGCGGGGATTACAGTCATAAGCCACCAAGCCTGGTCTAGGGTGTCATGCCTTCAAACATTTAATGAGCAGCAATAGACATTTTCTTTGTAATTATTCAATAATTTTATTGAACATAACCTGTCTAGAACAAATCTATGCCAGGAAATATACTTATAGCTTTTCCTGTATAAAATCCCGAAACACTCTGAGAATAGCCCACAAGCTATTCCCAGCCTCAATTTACAAATAAAACAGACATATAGGGGTCAGAGAACTTGCCACAGTCATACAGCAAGGAAGAAGCAGAGCTGGGATTTAAACCAAGGGAAGGGAGCTCTAGGCACAGAAGTCTAACGTGAGCTGATACCCATGGGCTTCCTCTTCTTTACCACTGGTTGTGTGGCAGTCAGTGTCCACCAGAAGTTTTTGACATACAATTCATTTTGTCATTGTTTGTGGTGGTGATGGTGGTGGTGGTCTACATGTGTATGTGTGCATGTGTGTGTGTGTACACACATGATTACACATACCCGTGAAGGCTAGAGGCCAGCCTCAGGTGTCATTCCTCAGGTACCAGCACCTTGCCATCGAGCTCCCTAGCCTGGAGCTTGCAGAGTAAGCTAGACTGATTGGCTAGTCAGCCTTGAGGATCTGCCTGCTTCCACGTCCTCACCACTGGGGTTACACACATGAGCCATTGTACCTGCTTTTTCATGTGGGTTCTAAGAACCAAACTCAGGTCCTAACGTCTGCACAGCGAACATTTTAAAATGCCCGAGCCATCTCTCCAGCAATCATTTTACTCCTGTCCCATCCCTACCTCCTCCAGAGCAGCCCAGACTAACTTCACTTAGTTTGATTGTCTGGGGTAGAAAAGGATGGCAGGTGTCTCTGAGACAAGCCCAGTTAAAGCAGAAAACTGTTAACATTTTCTCTGGCAAATCCAGGAGCCTCCAAAGTGGCAGGAAGCTAAGTTCCCCTGTGAGCGGTTTGTGTCATTTCTCATCTTAAATGACGATCTGTGTCTCCGCCTTTCTCTGGTGCTTTTATAAGATCCCATCTCCACACACATCCTGCTTCCTACAGTGGGAAATGTTCCTCGGGGGTTATTTGAAGTGTGGTTGTGTTTAGATACAAGGGCAAACAATGCCAGTTTTTATTAGCTTTATGTTGTTTTTCGGAAATGTTCCCTTGCTATCGCTGGTCCCATTTTGTAATCAGTTTCAGGCTCCTTAAAGGTACAATGGACATTCTGCATGAACATCCACAGGGTATTTGAGTGGAAACAGACCAGACCCTTGCTCTTGCCGTCCTGAGTATAGGATTTTATCCTAAGACTTAAGAGAACAGATGCATTAAGGAAGGTGATTGACAAGTGTCCCTTCCTTTTGTCTCAGAGAGTTTGTCAGGATATAAAACTTAAGAGAAAATGGTGGTGAGGTGACTCAGTGTGTAAGCATAGGAACTGGGGTTCAGATCCCCAAAATCCAGGCCAAGTCGGCGTGTTGTGCTAGCTCTGTAATCCAGCTAAACCCCAGCACTCATTCAGGAGGCAGAGACACAGCTCCAAGTTCAGCAGGAGACCCTGCCTCAGGAAATAAAAGCGTAAGCTGAAGTAGAGGGATGCCCAGCGTCAAGCTCTGTTACTGACATGCACACAGCTCCATATGCGTTAACATGAATACAGACGCACAGACACACACAAACGTGGGATAGAAATCTCCCCTTCCCATGAGAAGGATGAAGAGAAAGCCGAGGGAGAAAGGAAGTACCAAGAGTCCACAGGAGAGTGACTCAGGACGTCCATGTTGACTCGCTGTGCACAGAAACCAGCGGGATCTTGAGAAAGGCCTCCTCCGTGAGTGTGTCGGCAAGGAGAGGGGAGCAAGAGCAGGCTTTGAGGAAGGGGGCTCCAGGAGTCAGGAACCTAAGCTTCCAGCCATAGTACTGATGTCACCCAGAATTTTATAGATCTTCCTTCTGTTCTTGTCAGGATACAGTTCACACACCATAGACTTCATCCTTTTTGACAGCGCAGTGGTCGGGTAGTCTTTTTCTTATTCCAGGCCTTCTCTACCCGACTCCCTCAACTGTTCGCCTCCTGCTCTACCTATAGAGTATAGCTCAATGCTGTTTGCCTGAGATCGCTTGAGGCTCACACAGCCGTTGGCCCATAGGCACAGCCGTGATTTCTAAACCCCGAGGCCAGTTGTAACCTTTAGCCATTGTTGGCTGTGAAACCCTTGGAGCCATGCATCCTCTGCTGCACTTGTCTCGAGAAGACAGTAGGTGGCGTCAGTGAGGTGGCTCGGCAGATAAAGGTTCTTGCCTGAGGGCCTGGACTGGGCCCCTGAGACCCACATAACTGAAGGAGAAAATCAGCTCCCTCAAGTTGTCCTCTGACCTTTACACATCACACGCATGTTTGGCCTGTGCACTAGCGGCACGCCTGGTGATGTCTTCTGCCCAAGGAGATCAGAAGAGGACATTGTATCTCCTAAATACAGTGTGAGTCATGTATGGTCTCTGTGAATCAAACCCAGGTCCTGAAGAAGCAGCCAGTGCTCTTAACCACCGAGTCATCTCTCCAGCCCATAATTACATTTTAAATTCCTTTTAAAAAGATTTTATTGTTACTTACAAAAGGTGCAATTTTAAAATTAGAGTATGAAAATAGAATAACAACATTTTCAAGACAAGATCTCATTATAAAACCCAGAATGATCTCAGACTTTAAATACTTCTGCTTTGGCCTCCAAGTGCTGGGATTAAAAGCGTGTAACACCATTTCCAGCTCGGGAAATTAAAATTTTTAAAACAAGAACTACATAGAAGAGGGAGGCGTAGGAACCAACAGGCCTTAGCTGAGACATCAGCAATATTGGTGTATTACCTATCTCTTAATTTAGCCTACAGACCTGGCCCACTGGCCCCTGGTCTGCTACCTGCTGGCCCTAGCCTTCGCGTAGCTCACAGGAGGGCTGGCTCCCCAGAGCTGGGGGAGCAGGCTGCCTCCACTTCACCATGCTCTGTTTTCTTCAGTAAGCAACACTATAGAAACTGGGACGTTTAATGGTACACGCATATGAGAAACGACACACATTCATTTCATTTCGGGTTGTAAAACTGAGGACACTCCAAGAGTGAGCTGTGTTTTTATTAAAATCATACAGTAAAAATGTCTTATGTCCTTCAAAGCTCAGCCTGTTTAGTCGGATCCAGACGTTGAGACTATAGAACTGCTGCTATCTGTTGTAAAGCTATGAATTTTCCTTATCCTCAGACTTGCTATTTGGAGGAAAAACATTGAATCTAATGTTATTAAAATGACTGGCAGTCTGTATGACTTAATAAGATGTTGTAAAATGATTTTAGCTGAAATATCAGAGTTTGGCGCAGTTGAATTGGTCCGGTTTACTAATGCCATTATGCAAGAGTTTAGCTCTCAGACATGAAAGCAGAGCCGGCAGAGGCTCATTGCTCGGGGCATGCTCTACCTGCCAGCGAGTTACACCGTTCATAGGCTCTAGACTTGGACAAAGTTCTTGGAGATCTGTAGGATTTTAAAAACAAACTGGTAATACAGTTCCCTTGAAACATATTCTCGTGAAAGTTTAAAATAATAATAACTGGGGCTGGAAAGATGGCTCAATAGTTAAAAGCACTGGCTGCCCTTGCAGAGGACCTGGGTCCAGTTCCCAGCACCCACATAGTGGCTCACAGCCATCCGTAGCTCCAATTCCAGGAAATCCAGCTCTGTTGGCCACTGTGGATGCAAGGTATGTGCTCAGTACATGCTCATACATGTAAACAAACTCTCATACACATCAAATAAAATGAACAAATCTTTAAAATAACAATGGTTAGCACCTAATACCTCAAGAACCATCATGAAGCATCTGTAATGTGCAGACTTCATTAGGTGACGACTTTCTTATGGGAAGGCTCAGAATGTTTGAAAGAATGTGACATCTTGGACTGGAGAGATGGTTCAGCCATGAAGGGCACATACTGCCCTTGAAGAGAACCTGAGTTCAGTTCCCGGGTCCATGGCTCACAGCTGCCTGCCGCCCAGCTTCAAGGGAACTTGTACCTAAACTCACATATATACACCCCCACACATATACATAATTGAACATAGTTTGGAAATCAA